CCAAATAAGAAAGTGGGTGAAGCAAAAGTTCTGCATTAATTTTGTTTTTGATATAGCGTTGCGATGGAATGTCTTAGAGACTTCATCCCTTTTTTGTTAGAAAGATCAAAGTATCTAGTACAAAAATATATAAAAGTGTTTTATTGAAAATATGAGTTGTTAAACTTTGCATAGTGTGGGTTTTTATGGTGTTCATAGTTGTCTTAGATCTGACTCATGTCGCATGGTCGGAAAACTGTGGTATTTTAGAAATATTTCGGTATACCGGTGGTATTTTGCATTTTGATTAAAGACAAGTAAAGCCTCAGATAATTTTACTTTTAGAAGATGAAAGATCTAAAATTGAAAATGTTAGAAAATAGGGTAGAAACCGTAAAGTTTTTTTTGTTGATTTTACTTTGGAGTTGCTTTATAGAGTATGGATTTAATGCCACATGTATCAATCAATACGTTTTTAGATTTTTGTTCATGTATGAAAGCATGAACTTCGCATTATTTTTCTCATTCTTCGATATAGAGAAACTCAATATTTATTTTTATATTCTGTTGATTTATCATGACTGCCAACCATATTTTTCTATCTACTACTTACAGTATATAGTATAGAATTTCATAATATACCATGTAGATTCTACACATCATATAGTAAGCATAACTTGACATTCTGTTTCTTTTATCATTGAGTTAGGCTATCTGAACAAAAAAAAAGTTATGATAAACCTTTACTATCCTTATTATCATTAATTAATTCAATTTTGTCTTTTAAAGTTAGCTCGTGTCGTGATGTCATTCGTTTTTTTTCACACATACACACACAATAGTCAGTTCTAGTACATAAAGTGTAATCAATTTTAGTAAATGAAGGGATGGACACATTATAAGACTATATCACAATAAAAGACCCTTTAAATAGATGACCTCTCTTTAACCCATCTTATAAAAGTTGAAATAGACGATCTCTTTATTTCTCAGTTTTTTACTTGTAAGTCTTGCAGAATTCGTAACAAATATTTCCTATTGAAAGTAAATCTTATTTTCCACTGAACACAGATAAATGTTTGCATGGAGAAGCTATAAAGGGGTCATTCTGGGCAGGGTACCCAAATCCAGTTTTTCGAAATCAGGAGTTTATTATGAGAGTTTTTTCAGAAACGACATTTTCTCTTAATTTTACTCAAATAAACCCATCATGTGGTATGAAGATAGTATTTTATATGAAAAATAACTTATTATAATAATTGTAATTGTTCGATTGTTGACTCTAAAATCTACCATATTACTTCATTACTTTATTATTAATTTTGGAAATTTACCTTCTTCTTTTAATTTAGATTGTTCCAGAAGCTGCTTCTCATGCGGATGGTTTTAGTAAAATGAAGACTATTAGTAAATTATCTAAAACGCCTAAAACACCACAAACGTCCGGTATATTGATATCAAAAATGAACATAAATAACTCTGAATAATTTTGTTGTTTTTCTATTTTTTCTAGCTGAAAAATCAGCAGCAAAAATTCAGAATGCATTTCGTACACATCAAGCACGTTTAAAATTAAAGAGCCAAGCAGCTTGGCAAATTCATGAAAAACTCGAATATTCAAGTGAACAAACAGAGAGTAAAGTAAGTTAAAAAGAATTGTCACTTTCTATTTCGTAGCACTATAAGTCTTATATTCATCTAGCTCAAAGATATGTTCGAAAAATTATTACGAGCTTCATCATCTTTATCTCCATCTGTTTCGAAATTATTGCATAAAGCAAGTCTACCAGTAGGTGTGTTCATTTTCTATTTTCGTTAATTGTTCTAGCATTTTTACTTTTCTTTTCTTTTTTTTCTCTTTTTAGAAGAAAAAGAACTTCTTTGTTCAACAAATCCGGATGCTATCGAAGTTGATTCGAGTTATACTGGATTACATATTCAAGGACCAATTACACGAAAATTGCTTGTAGATTTGATCGAAACATCTCAGCAAGGAAAGGTAAATTTAAAGAAAACAAAATTATATTTTGTTCTAAAGTACTTATTGAGCGAATATAACTAACTTATTGATTATTTGTTTTTATTACTATTTTTAGATTTTACATGAAAAATATGTTTGTGAAATTTTACATCAAGCTCGAGTAATTTTAAAATCGTTACCGAACTTTAATCATATTGATTTAGCTAATTTAAAACATGTATTCATTGTGGGAGATTTACATGGTCAACTACAAGATTTATTACATATATTTGATTCAGTATGTTCATTTTTTCGAAAAATATTTTTGTTTTTTTAAATTCAAATTATTGTTGTGGTATATGACTGTTTTTTGAATAACTTTTGATAGAAAAGAGCTAGAGAGCTCTGGTTTTCACCATTCGAAAGAGAAGACTTAGGAACATGTTCCAATAGGCAAAAGGTTTTCAGAAGAGTTTTTCTGCAACAGATTTTTGGGGAGTACTTTGGAAAACCATGCCGTGTGTAGAAATCCTCCAATAGGATTGTATTGGTTTTTTTTCATGAGCTGATAGCGCGAGGTATCCTGTTCAAAATGGGAGTCAAGCGAGAGCTTGATTTCCAACAGTTCGGGCGCTGTATCAGATTTTCTACGAGCCCGAGGACCGGCATCCGGTGACTATTAGTAGCCTTGAAGACGGTTGAACTATGGAAAATCGACCATGCTGAGTCTCGTGACAATATTTGCTTTTAGAAAAATTTTAAAAACTTACCGAAAATCGAGTTTTACGAAAATTGGGCTTTTCAGACTGTTTTTACCTAATCTTAAGAAATTCACTATTCACCCAAGAAACATCAGAACGAGTTTAAAACTCTAGAATAGAGTGTTTAAGCTGTGCTATATCCTGTTTGTAGGATATTCCGAAAGAAGAAAATCCTGAAGTTTTCCGAAAGAGTTTCTAGAAAAACCTATTAAGAAAAATATGTAGTTTTGATTTTTTCTACACACGGCCTGATTTTCCAAAGAACTCCTCGAAAATCTATTTCAGAAAAACTCTTTTGAAAAACTTTTGGTTATTGAAACATGTCTCCAAGCGTCCTCTTTCGAATAGTGAAAACCAGAGTTCTTTATCTCTTTTCTATCAAAAAGTTATTCAAAAAACAGTCATATACCATTCTTTTTTTGATTGGATAAATAGATTTTATTTATTTTGATTATTCTAGAACGGATTACCATCGACAGATAATGCCTATGTTTTCAACGGTGATTTTGTTGATAGAGGCAACAATTCAGTTGAAGTTATTTTAATATTATTAACAGCACTTATACTTTATCCCAGTTCAGTATTTTTAAACAGAGGCAATCATGAAGATATTATGGTTACAGTTAGGTTAGCTAAATATTATTTCTAAATATAAAGAAAAAAAAAATATTTTGAAATTTTTCCAATTAAGATATGGTTTTCATAATGAAGTAAATAAAAAATATCGAGTAAGTGTGAAATTTTATTTTATTCATTGTTTATCAATAAGAAATTTATATTTATTTAGAATCGTACAGTACCATTATTAGATTTATTCAAAGATGTATTTAGTTGGTTCGTAATTATAAAATATAAAAGTAAAAAAGAAATAATTTCTATAAAAACTATTTTAGGTTACCATTATATTCGTACGTTGATGCTGGTCAAGCAAAATTAATTATTATGCATGGTGGAATATCGGATAGAATTAATTTAAAAAAATTAAATAGTTTAGCAAGAAATAGAGTATGTTATTATTTAACAAGTGTATGATTATACATCAACATATATTGTCTAATTATTTTCGTTTAGTATGTTTCTATTGAAGTTCCACCAGAATCAAAACAAGGTGGAAAAAAACTGACCGAAGAAGAAGATCTTGAATATCATCAGGTAAACAAACTGATTTCTTAAGACATCATGTTGTATATTGCTTCTTTTTCTTTTTCACTGATAATAGGTTCAAGATTTATTTTGGAGTGATCCAGATCCAAAAGGTCGTAAAGGTTGTCGTCCGAATGATGATCGAAAATTGGCATGTTTTTTTGGAAGTGATGTTACAGAATATTTTTTAAAAAAGTATAGTTTATCAATGATTATACGATCACATCAAGTAAAACAAGCTGGCTATGAGTTTGCTCATAATGGAAAGGTATAATATTTATTTAGTTAATAATTATTTTGACAATGGATAATTGATTTTGTCTTTTAGTTATTAACTATTTTTTCGGCATCAAATTATTGTGGTGGACACAATTGGGGCGCTGTTATACGATGGGATTATAATCAAGAAGACCCATGGATAATATCTTATAAAACAGAAGCAGTCGATTTAAATAAAGTTAGTTTTAATAAAAAGTATGTATAAATTGAAAAACTAATGTTATTCTATTATTATGATATTTGTTTTGTATTGAATAGAGTGACATTATTTGAAGATCCAGCTTATCGTTCATTAATGGAAAAAATTCTGTCAAATAAAACTAAACTTTTGGAAGAATTTGAAAAAGCAGATAAAACTAAAAGCAGTTAGTTTTTATTGTTTTCAAAACTCAATTTTGTAGATAATTTCAATATTTTATCGTTTAGATCGTTTATCATTAAAAATATGGTCAGAAATCATGTTAGAAGTATTAGTATTAGATTTACCATGGTTGACATTAAGAACAAGATTAGTACAAGAAGATACCAAAGGAATTATTTATCGTACTTTATTTGATGATTTTGTTATTAGTAATCCAAAATTTCAAATGCAAAATGCCGGTATTATGGAGGATTTATATTATTATAAAGATATGTTATTAGCATTATTCAATTTAATCGATTATAATCATTCAGGTAAAGTTTATTCTTGTTCTTTTTTCTTTTATTTCAGTAAATATTGTTGTCTAATATAGGCTTTATTTCTCGTAATGAGTTTTCTGATATTATTCGTATTATACTTGTCGATGAAAATCAAAATGGTGGTAGTGAAAAAGCGTCGAACATAGTCAATGATGAATATATTGAAGAGCTTACATCAGCAATGGATTTTGATAAAAATGGAAAAATTGATTTTAATGAATTTTTAGGTAATATTATAACTAGGCACAATGAAATTGAATATTTCGACAAGGCTTCCACATTTATCTGTAAATATTGATAAATTTTTAATCAGATAACAGTTGAATCTTTTGTCAGGGAATAAAGAAAAAAGCAACACTTAATCAATTTAACGTTTTGTCTAAACTTTATTTTTTATTTTAGAAAGTTTTCGTATTGTTAATGTTAAGGGATAACAACAAAAAACGACAACAAACCAGTCAGTAAACTACCTCCAATGTCTGCCAACATGCTAAATTTATCGAGTAATCCAATTCAGAACATAGACAAAAAGAGAAAAAAAAAATCAAAATCTCTAAAGAACGTTTTTTCTATTTGTTGTTTTTCCACTTTTCTCTCTCTCTTTCTACAAACATTCCGTCTTAAATGCTATCTTAGATAATTTTTCAGCGAACAAATTTTTATTTTTTTCTATAATTGTTTGTTAAATGTATTCTGTTTATCTAATTGAAATATGTGCAATTTGAATAATAACCTGGTTATTCTAAGAAAGAATAACGACTGTTTTCTATGGTTTTAATTTCGGATCTATGTTTAAACAGAACCATAATATTACTGACTAAAATGGAACTTCAAAATTTAGTCCACTTTTTGTTTTTCTTTTTTTGTTGTGAATAATTATATTAGCAAAAATAAATCTGATAATTAGATTTGTATGACGCTGACGTATATTAACGAGAAAATTGTAACTTATCTCTACTCTGTTTCCATTAAAATACTTTCAAAAAATCTAAAATCTCTAAAACCTTACCATCTTAAAATCCATATCAAACATTTTCTCATGATTTGGTAACATACAACAAAGATTTCTGCTCTCTTCAACCTATTTTAATTAAGTTATCATTTTTATACTACAAGTTCGAAAGAAGTAATCGGTATATGACAGTTCTTTTTTCACAATGTTGCTGGACTTATGTTCTTGGGATTTGAATATAAAAGTCATAGCTTAATGAAAATAAGTTGTGGAGAGCAGAAATCTTTCCTATATGTTACGGGATCATGAAAATAAAAGTTTGACATGGATTTTAAGGATACAATCCCCTCATTTTAGAAAAAAATGATACATGGTATAGTGACGTGACCTCTACAAAGTGAGGCCGTCCCTAGCTCTCCAGGACCTTCCACTAGAGAGATACGAATTCGTCAGTTTACTCTAAAGAATGCTCACGGTTATGCTCATTTTGCTGAAAGCCCACAAAGAAGTGGGTTTCGCCTTGTAACGCTGCTCGTTCAAACATCGTTTTTCTGCTAGTGCACTCAATTGGCCTTATATCCCTGCTCTGAAAGTTCATCCAATCGGCCTGAAATTTTCATCACAACTACTTCACAAGTTTCTCCAGAGGTTAGATTTTTCTAGGAAATATTGTTTCGTTCATAAGTTATGGCAAACATATCCTTTTAAAGCCCTATAGCTCCGTCCAGAGGCACTTTTTCTCAAAAGAAGATTTAAAGGCTTTTTTGAGGCCTTTCAGCTAAATGAGCATAACTCTATCAGAAAACGTGGTGTAGAGCTGTATGACATGTTTGTAAGTTAAAAAATAGAGTTTTTAAAGAGTATAAAGTGGTAAATTCGTATCTAGTGAAAGGTCATGAGAGCTAGGATGGTCTTAGTTTGTAGAAGACATGTCACTTTGTCACGCATTACGTTGACATTTTTGACATAACATTTTTTTCTAAAATGAGGGGATCGTATCCTTAAAATCCATGTCAAACTTTTATTTTCATGATTCCGTAACATATAGAAGAAAGATTTCTGCTCTCCGCAATTTATTTGCATTAAGCTATGACTTTTATATTCAAAGTCCACGAGCACAAGTTCAGCAACATTGTGAAAAAAGAATTATCATAGGCTGCCCTAGTGAATGTACTTGAACATAGGTACCCGAGTTAGGTACCTTGCTACGAGAATGTCATAGGTGCTTGCAAGTAAAGTGTTACTTACCGGGTACCTAAACGTCCAACCATTTTAGATGATCATGCGAAGATAAAAGCGTACCCCATTCTTGTAAATATATATTTTTCTGTTATATATATCTGAACGCCAAACAAAAACGGTGAACGGAAAAAGATTTTGTACCTATGCTGCATTCAATGCAAGTAATTGGGTATCTCTCAAGTAATATTTACTTGAAAAAATCCAAGCACCCATGACGTTCATTTCATGTAGGAGGAGACCGACACAGTATCTAAGAAAAATGCAAGTACTCGGATACCTATCGTTACTAGGGATGATTATTACTTTCCAGCTTGTAGTATCAAAGTGATAACTTAGTGAAAATAGGTTGTGGAGAGCAGAAATCTTTCTTCTATGTTACCGAATCATCAGAAAATGTTTGATATGGATTTTAAGAAGATAAGGTTTCAAGGATTCGAGATATTTAGAAAGTATTTTCGCGGAAGCAGAGTAGAGTAGAGCAGATTTATTTTTGTTTCTATGATTGATTATTCACAATAAAAAAACAAAAACAAAAAGTGGACTAAATTTTTAAGCTTCACATTATAAATGCATGGATGTCAATCTGAAAGTAGATGTAACATCTGCGTTTCTGGTACTTCGTTTTATTTATGATATTTTCAAGATTTTGTATAAGAAAAATAGCCGTGAGAAATGTGATTTTACATAATCGTCGGTTCTTCCTCTAATAACTATGTTCAAGGAAGAAGAAAAAAAATAGAAATTATTTTAGTATAAAATATTTGCACTTATATGCAAGTAAGAGGTTGAAAACAAACGGTAATTCAAGGTTTTGACCTCTTGGAACTTTTTTCTTTTCATGGTGATCTGACTGAAAAAAATGAAAAAGTCAAGACCCCAATTTCAAAAAATTTCATTCGAAAACGTGATCTCGTCGAAAAAGAAAGAGAAGATAGAAAAATGAAAGAGTTTTGGTACTAAACTTTTTACAAGAATTTTTACTTCTACTCACATGTTTTTTCTTAACAAAATATCCACTTCTCTTACATATGCATTGTCAACAAAAATGTTTTTGTACAATGAATTAATAATTATCATTCTCTTGACATATTAGCATATTTTAAATGATCTATGTTGTTTAATTTGATCTATATTTATCTCAAGGAGTTGATTAAAAGCAAATTAAGTTTTCTTTTTATCATAAAAGTTATTGTTATTTCAACTAAGTATAAACGTTTTCATTTTTTTTTAAACTCAGAGTATTATCAATGAACTTGAGAGCAAAAGAACGAAAAAATGGCCTTCATTTTGTTTTTACTTTTTCAGTTACGAAAAAAGTCAATTCGTTTTTGTGTTTTTTGCGAAAAGTAAATGTCTTTATTAATTGATTACATGATTTTTTACACACATCGATTAATAATAAGAAATCGACAATCAGATTAATTAGCACATATATATATATATATCGAACTATTATTCTTTTTCAATTTTTTGACAAGAAGCGATCTTTATTTTATTTCTCAATATTATACGTTGTAATCTGACTACACTAGGAATTAATTATTAGCTTTTTTCTTAGTGATTACGTTTATCATATCAAATAAAAAACAATGAATGCGTAAGTATTTAATTTTTTTTTTCTCACACATATTATTGACGTACAAAACTAATTTTTTTCAAATCGAGATGGACGAAATGCGATTATCTGGAATATTAATCTGTAGAAAAAATAGTTCTCATTTAGTAAAACTTTATCTTAAATCTATTTATAGAGAATATCAAACATCATTAAGTGCTAAATTTTCTTATAGTCCTCTCTGTTTTTCAACAGTTGAGTAAAATGTAATATGCAATCTTCTCAGCTCAAAATTTTAAATATTTCTACATTTAAAAAGTTCGGTTATCATATTAATCGTTCGTGATCACTACAGTAAAGTCTCCCTTTTACGAACACCATCGGAACATTTTAAAAGTATTCACTATAGGAAGGTGTTCACTTTAGAGAGATGGTACATGTTTTACTGTGAAATGAAGAAAAAGTTTTAGAACGTCTGCTTCTACACTAGTCCCGAATTAAGTTGGAGCTTCTATTGTTCAACTCTTTTTCATTTAAATGCATTTTAATTTAATTTATTTAATTTTCGTTTAACATTTTGATTCTAGTTTGTTTGATAATCATTAAAGTAGTCTGTTTTACTTTTATCTACATTTGATACGGAACTAAGTACCCCTTAAATAGAAGATCTCGCTTTAACTCATCTTGTAAAAATTGAAATAAAAGATCTTTTTATTTTTCAGTTTTTTACTTGTAAGTCTTGCAGAATTCGTAAAAAATGAGGTGTAATTCCCGCAAAAATTACTCACTTGGACCTCATTACTCCCTCGTTCACTAATAGACGTTTTACTATATTGCTAAAGTGGTTTCATGACGATAGTGTCGTCAAACATCAAGATCTAATATTGATTTATCAGCATATTAGCCGTCTAATTTCATCCGTACTTACGAGGGAACCGCCCCAGGTGCCCAACTCCGATTTCCTTCATTCATACCTCGTTTTATAGAGCACATCGAGCTGGTAAAAAGCCTAAGAGGATTTCTGCCCATGGCTCTTGAAATCTCGGTTTTCTGCAAAATCAGTTTTTGAGAAATTCTAACAACTAACCAAAAACCTTTCTTAATGAGACATGATAGTAGCCCGCACATTTCTGACTAAAATGAGACGTCTTCCAGCTCTACATGATCTTTCTTTGCAAAGTTATAGAATTTACAAGAAAAGTCCTAAATTAATTTCTTCTTATGTCTACAGCTTTGAGCTGACAACATTTAGGGCTTTTCTTGTAAATTCTGTAACTTCGTAAAGAAAGGTCGTGTATAGCCGGGAGACGTCTCATTTTAATCAGAAATGTGCGGGCTACTATCATGTCTCATTAAGAAAGGTTTTGGTTAGTTGTTAGAATTTCTCAAAAACTGGTTTTGCAGAAAACCGAGACTTCAAGAGCCATGGGCAGAAATCCTTTTAGGCTTTTTACCAGCTCGATGTGCTCTATAAAACGAGGTATGAATGAAGGAAATCGGCGTTGGACACCTAGGGCGGTTCCCTCGTTAGCTAGTAGTCACTGCAGGAAAAGGATCTCTGAACATCTTCCGTGATCTCTTCAAATTTCGTTGAAAAATTCAGAGAATGATTTGTTGACTATTGACTATTTTCTCGAAAACTGAGGAATAAGTTTGATATTTTGAATTATTAACGTAGTGTTCTCAATAAATTTTAGAAATTCTCTCCTACTCCAGTCTACCATTTTTATTTTAATCCCTCCGAAACTTTTAACATAGATGTAATTCAATATATACTACATTTTTTCTAAGGTTAAAAGACAATTAAGAAATGATTGATGATCTAAGTTAATATTTCTCATACAATTTTTAAAAATCTATAAGCATACATTACTTAAAGATTACAATATTTTTATTAACAAAATGTTTGCATGAACAAGTTTTCGTCTAATATTTCAAGCATAATGGTTTAATATGTTATTTTGACACCACTTTCAAGGTACTATATTTACATATGTATTTGATATATTTGTTCTTGAAAATGTTTCAAGTTTTTATGATGCCGTGGAAGACGAATAATGAATGTAATTTGCCACTCATTTTGCCTACAACAAATTTCTTTTTTTTTTCGAAAGAATAATTCTGTAAAATGGAAATGAATGAAAAAAAAGATTTCAACACTAATCTTTTAGTATCGAGGCGTTTGATTTTTGTTTGACATAACTTTAATTATAACTACTTTATTTAGTAGAACAAACAATTTGTGATTGGAATACGATTTTTCGCTGGAGAGAATGAATGCTTGAGAGAGGAGGACAAGCCAAATCTATCATCTATTGTCCATCCAAAAAAAGGATGGTATATGGGTATTTTCTGAATAACTTTTGAATAGTAAAAGCTAGAGAACTGTGATTTTCGTATATGGAAAGAGGACTCTATAGAGCATAGTTTTTTAAAACGTTTTTGAAAAATCGGTTTTTTAGAGGATCTTTGGAAAACTTGTGGAAAACTCAAAATTTTTAAGTGGTAATCTATTGATTTTTTTATGTCAGTAGATAGAGGAAAGTGTCCTCTTTAAAATGGGATCTAAGCGATCTCTTGAAAATCCTTAGTTTCCTCAGAGGGGTTGTTTAGTCCCTAAGGACCAGAATCGGTCTCCTCTCTGTCTGATAACCTTGAGTATCTTGTCCAATCATAGATTATCTACCATCCTGAATCCCGTGAGAATGTCTATTTCACGATTTGAAAGCATGCGCTTCATTAAAACTCAAATTCGTCTTCCGTTGCCCGGACTATAGTGTAGATACAAGGCAAAAAAACACTTTTTATTATTATTTAACGTTAAAGAAATAGAAGAAACAACGTAAAGAGACGAAAATCGTTGGAATTTAATCTGCGTCTTCAGTTTCTGATTCAGACTGTACATCATCTTCAATGATATCATTGTCACGTTCATCTGAAATTGCATCCGCTCTTTTAAATGTCTCCTCATATTTGATCGTGTGTTCAATAAAACTTGATGCTATTTACATATCACATGCTGTCAGCCAAGCTTTGGCCCACACAGAAACATCTTTCAAACTAAAAGTCACGTTGTTATTGCGAATAAAAGTTTTCATTTCCGCCCAAGCAAGTTCGATTGGATTCAGCACACAGTGTCTTACTGGCAGACGTAAAATATCAACATCGAATTTTGCGGCGGCTACATCTGTTTTGAATACCTTTTTTGGAGCGTAGGCATCAGCCAGTTCCAACAACTCCGCTTTTGTATAAATATCCAAATATGGCACTTGATGATCATTTAGCCGTTGGACCACCTGTGCCTCCACCCAAGCACGCTTTGACATTTTCGTCTCCTCTGCCAATTCATTATACCACGGTGCATTATCCACTATTATACAGATTTTTGAATTTACATTTTCAGCTCGTAGAGTTCCTACAGCTTCAGAAATCCAATTGACAAAACGAGCTGAAGTCATATTATGTTCTTTAGAAGTTTCCCATATGCCCACCGTACTTTCGTGAATTCCATCTTTGCTAAGCATAGGGCTGATTGCTAATCTGGGTCCTTAATGAAAAAGCGACAAGATGATATTCAGGAAGACAAATTCTTTAAGATAAATACTCACCTTGACCATCTCGCTTTCGGAGCCTTCCATGGCCAGAATTATCTATCCAAATACTATGTTTTTCTTCTCCTGAATTTACCCATGTTTCATCATGCCAAAATAACAATGTACCTTTTCCGTGAAATTCATTCAGTTTTCGAAATAATACGCTCTTTGAGCAATGAAGGACGTGGAATCGAGTGGTACGGTAGCTTTTGATGTTTTAGAATACTTAAATCCTAGTTCTTTCATAATCTTGGACAAAGTGGTATGACTGTGGATAGGAAAATCTTGACAGTCGGATTGAAGTCGAGATAATAATTTATCGATGGTTGGATAAATCTTTTCAGCCAGCATCAAGCTGAACTGGTATCTGATCATGTCTTTAATGAAGCGCATGCTTTCAAATCGTGAAATAGACATTCTCACGGGATTCAGGATGGTAGATAATCTATGATTGGACAAGATACTCAAGGTTATCAGACAGAGAGGAGAC